TTAATTAATCCCACTTCCATCCTGACTGCAAAAGCCTTCCCTGCTTCCATCCACTCACGTTTTTTCCTAACTTTGAACCATACAGGGTAATTGCATGCACATAGATAGCCATAAGTATTTGTGTGCTTGTAATTCAGAGGGGGCAGGGACTTAACTGTACCTCAGCAGCCTTTACAATTACCCCACAATCAGTCAAAGCAACATAGCCCTGTTTCATTCTAAGCCAAGCTGCCCTGGTTTACAGTCTCACTTACTGAGAGGTAAATCATAGCATCATAGAAAATGAGGGTTGGAAGGAACCTCAGGAGGTCATCTACTCCACCCTCCTGCTCAAAGCAGGATCATCACCAACTAAATCATCCCAGCCAAAGGCTTTGTCTAGCCAGGTCTAAAAAACCCTCCAAGAATGGAGGGTCCACAGCCTCTCTGGGTAACCTGTTCCAGTGCTTTACTACCCTCCTGGTGAGAAAATCCTTCCTAATATCTAACCTAAACTTCCCTTGCTGAAACTTGAGATCATCGCTCCTTGCTCTGTCATCTACCACCACTGAGAACAGTCTAGCTCTAACCCTAACCCCTTTTGAATCCCACTTCAGGTAGCTGAAAACTGCTATTAAATCTCCCCTCGGTCTTTTCTTCTCCAGACTAAATAAACCCAGTTCCCTCAGCCTCTCCTCATAAGTCATGTGCCCTGGGCCCCTAACCATTGCCGTTGCCCTCCGCTGGACTCTCTCCAATTTCTCCATATCCTTTTTATAGTGGGGGCCCAAAACTGGACTCGGTACTTGAGATGTGGGCTCACCAGTGTCAAACAGAGGGGACTGGTGAGGTAATGCAGGCCCAGGAACTGCAGATCAGCTGTTTCACAACAAGTCTCTGCCCTTATTTACCTGCTCTCGCTCTCAGTTCAGAAACAAAGTTGACTCAACAGGAAGGAAAGATCTCAGAGGAACTGCCTGTTTAACAGAAGTATGTCATTCAAGTCTGCTCCCATAAGTAGGACATTTTACCCTAACCCAGTCCTACATGCAAACATAATTTATTTTTCCTACTCCCGCTTGCATATCAGTGGATTCCAGCAGGTCCCAGCAGTATCTCACTCTTGTTGCAAGGCCCCAACTTGAGTTAAATGAATAAGGTGGAACATCAGAGTGGAAGCTGCCTAAACCTAAACCAGTTGCAGAGCATACAGGTGTTTGCTTTTGCCAGGAGTGGTTCAGGCATCCCAAGGAAAGTAACTACAAAGCGGAAGAGGGCTGGGAGGATCAGAGGGGTTTGTGGGTCCAGGTGGGGGAATGCGCTGGCAAATCCAGGGAAGGCTGGTAAGGGAGCCAAAAACAGCCCAGTCAGGGTTGGAAAGTTCAGAACAGCACAGTATGGAGGCTGGAGCAAGTGGTCAGGCTTTCCCAGCCCCAGGGCTGTGTGGTGAACATGGGCAGGCATTTGCTCCATCGGGGTAACCTTTTGTAGACTGGGTTAACCTTTTATCGATCTAAAGTTAGCTCACTTCCCGAGGTAGATGCACCATATTTTGGGTGATTTAAGCCCTATGAATACATGCATGGCCAGGCATTTAGATCAACCTAACTTTGGTTAGGTTGAAATAAATATAACATTTGCACATACCCTTAGTAGACTTGTTTCCTATATGAACCAGCCACTAGATGGAGGCACACACTTTCCAAGAGGGTTACAAAATTGTATGTTCAGTAGCACTAGAATATTGGGAGCTGACCATAATCTGGTCATTAGAGCAGAAGTATAACAAGCAGGGTTTGCACCATGGGCAAACCCTGCAGGAGAGTGGGGCTGTGGAGATGGGGGTGGAGAGGTACCACTGGGTGTCAGGGGGCAAGCGTTCCAAGATAGAGGGAACAGTATGGGGCTGGGAGTCTTACCTTATGTTGAAGACTCAAAAACAGTCCCCAGATGCTGCTGCCACAGCTGCAGCGTAGTCTGCCTGCCCCAGCTGTTGCTCCTACAGCAGCAGCACAGTATCCACATACCTGGCTGCTCCTGCTGCAAGGATAACACTGTGAGGCTGTGTGGGTGGGGGTACAATGCTGACACCCCTAGTTAGTTGGTGCCTCGGGCTAGCATGCAGTTGGGCACTGGCCTGGCCATGCCACTGGCAGGGTGGGGGGCTGGCAGGCATGCGTCCCACCTTCCAATGTGGAAAAGGTGGTCACCCTACCCACCCTAAAGCACAGGTTACAGACAACAGTCAAGTACACAGATTGCACACAACCCTGAAAGGCTAACTATTACTAAACTCTGACATACTATCAAGACCTAGGTTATCTTTGCAATTCTGCTAGAAGGATCTTGCGACATCATCTGAGGTACCTTTTCTGTAAAAAATATGGGGAATTATACTTCTCTGCCTTGGACAGAATGGAGGTCCCACTCAATAGCAAAGTGGGAAGTGCAGAATTTCAATTCAGGGTTGCTTGATTCCTAATCCAGTACACATTTCCCTAAACAGAACTTTTTGCTAGGGAAGGAAAAGCAAGTTGGAACACTGTGAGCAAGGCCTGCACAATGCAGTTGAAACACTAAGGAAAGTCAAGGCAAAAGGGCTGAACAACCTCTACTGAGCTTGTACAAAAAAGATACTTTTCTGTTGCTTATAAATTGGGCCAGCTCTGGACACAATTTGATATGGACATCAGCTTACACCCCTATCTTCCTCCCATGCATCCAGTTGCCATGTGGAACTGACAAAGTCATTCCCCAATCTCCTTCTCAAAAAGAGCTGAAGAGACTTTACTTAAAACTTCCCGAACCTTTTAAAACACACAGTGGACCTCTTATGGAAAGTTTCCACCAACAATGCCACTTTGTCGAAGTATAAGTATCTGAAAGTAGACATTTATAATGGGAAGCATTAAATAGCCTTAAATATATGCATCACTAGATGATCCAGTTATAATATGTAACACCCACACACTTGTGCAGTATATGGCAGTGTGCCCCGTCAGTTGCAGAGAGAGAGAGAGAGAGAGAGAGAGAGAGAGAGTGTGTGTGTGTGTGTGTGTGTGTGTGTGTTCTGTATTTCCCTTTTTTTGGCCATATGGGCAAGATGGCTCCTGTTGTTCTGGCCATGTGCTCTGCACATAGAAAGCTGGGGTCTTGTATTTGGGTAAGGTATGTAAAATCTTCTGACCTAAGTAGTCAGGGGGAGCAGAAGCTTCTGCAGGCAGATTGGTTAAGAGAGAAAATGAAGCATGGCACTCCCTGACTGGACAAGGCTAAGGCGACATCATACTAAGGGATATAAGGTCAGCTAGGCTGGTCTGGAGGGGAGAGGAGTTGCTATGACCTGCTGAAGAGAAAAGTCCCCTCCAAGGGGAGAAGAAATCTGCAGCTAGAGAAAGGGAAACTCAAGTGGGGGGGGGGAGTGTCCCAGGGCCTGGGAACTCCTCTCTCCTCCTTTTCTGAGGTTTTAAGGGATTAATACCAGGGAGGAAGGTACTGATTCCTTGGGTTGGCTGGCCAGGAATTAGGCCTGGCAAGTTTTTAAACAGGATTGAAACCTGGAAGTTTCTAATTCTGCTAGATTGGCAAAGGTTGAAGCTCTCCCAGCTTGGGGCCAGTGTTGAGGTTTGTAGCCTTCTGGTCCCAGTGGAGCTGTGTGATCCAGACTGCCTGCAGCCCAGGCCCTGAGGGTAGGCCTGGCTTTCCCACTTTGTTTCTTTTGACAGTCCTTGACTCCAGCCAAGCTGTGTGGTTGGAGCCAACCATAGCCAGTAATCAACCTGGCTCCCTTTTGAATTTGTTCTGCAGTTTCTATTTCAGCAGGCCATACAGCCCAGCCCAGAAGTTCTGGGGTGCACGTATGCTGGCTGGAGCCACAGTCACTCCCCTCACACAGATTCTCCAGGGGAGCAAAGATCGGCACTCTACCATTTCTCCAGAAGCAGCGAGGGGTTGCACCACAACCAAACCACCAGCCACAAGCAGCTTCCTGATGTGTGGTGAACCCCATGCTCCAGCATGGACCCTGAAACTAAGTCTTTGGGGAAACCCAAATCCCTGACTGGCCGAAGTCTCTCTAAAGGCATTCAATCCATGAACTGTAGATGTAGAGATAATATTTATACTGTGTTTAAGGATTTGTTCTTTCATTTGTTTTTTTTTGTTTGTGATCTGGTAATAGATTTGTATTTGTTGGTTTATATTGCTTGTGAGAATGGAGATGTTTGTGTGCAACACCCCAGTCAAATTTAGTGTTCCCACAGTTCTGGGAGGGAGCTCGAGCCACTGGTATAACTCATTGGGTACCCTGAAATGTGAACCCAGCCCTTCTCGCTGCTGACCTGTGCCTGTCACCTGTACACATCTACATGCATATAGTATATAAAAATGTTAATATACTTTTAGGGTGAAAAGCATCACTTAAATGTAGGGTATTCTCCTGCAGTTGTATTTTCCCAGAGACAATACATACATAATGCAAGGCTACATCTTTTACTAAAATGAGCTAATTTGTTTCAACTTCAGTTAGCCCCACAAGATATCATACCATACACCTGTAAAAGCTGTTATTGCAACTTGTGATAGGTGCTTCTAGCATTGCCATCCTCACCAATATTTCTGGTCTCTGCTATACTACAGTGACTAATTGTGGTAAACAAGAAATTATGCTTCAGCAGCAGTCAGTACCTCCTTGCTCCATGTAAGTCTTTCATTTGCTTCTGACTTTAAGTCATAATATTCGAATGCAGCTGATCCAGTTGGGGAATATCTGCATGCCCAACTTCTCACTTGGGGATGTCTCAATACAATAAACTGTTGCCTGTGCTACCTACTGCTGACATGCTTCCTTCTTTAATTTCTTTATCCTGCTCTACTACAGAGTAAACAATACTGCTAAATACTCCCTGAACTCCTCAGTATTATTCATTACTTCATTAGCATTGTAGCAGCTATTAAACAAAAAATTTTAAAGGGAAACTAACAAATGAAACTATATGGAAAATATGAATAAAAAGTCTCACCTTTATCATAATCATCTTCCTCTACTGCTTTTTCTTGTAGCCTCTGAAGCCTTAACATTAAGGCTTTTATCTGTCTCAAAACAAAACAAAAAGAAAGAAAATATATTATTATTGTAATTTCTATAAGGTATCAAGACAATCACTGTATCAGCAGTACAACATGTCCAGCTGAGCTAAATCTACCCCTCATCAATGGGGGAGACATATTCTGAAGCCATTCTGTAGCCACCTGTGCTGAAGAGGGCTTTAGTCCAGATGTGTGTAGCAAGATTTAAGATATATGGAAAACCTTTGTCTTAAATATTGAAAGGAACCAAAGTGGCATACTCATGAAAAACCTCCATACCCTATTTATTACTTCAGATGCTCAAATATAGGTTACAATCATAATCCATCACCAATTTTTGTTTACGCTCTCTGTAAGTTTGAATGCACAAATTTCTGGCAATGCAATTTTTGGTACACACATTTGCACGCAGCAAATGCAAAAATTTACCCTGCAAACCCCATTTGCACCCACAAATGAATGCAAAAAAGTACCAATATACTATATGAATGAACAAGGGACAGCAGGGGAAAATAATGTGTTCTTACTTGAGCCTGGAGTCAATTTCCTTTGAAAGGTGGCCTTCCCAGTTTAGACTGGTCCATAACATTCAGTTCAGAATTTTCAACACATCTTTCCTGTGGCAAATATTTCCAAAGGCCTCCCCCCGCCCCTTTGCAATCAACAGGGAACGTGCATTGGAAGGAAACACAAACATATTCCTAAAGTTTCGCTTGAAAGTTTCTGCTCTAGATCCTTTTCTATCACCTTTTCTATTCCCATTCCTGCTTCACTTACTGCTACAGATTTAACCAGCTGCTTCTGCACTCAAAGGGTTTCGTGGCACAAGTATACGGACATCGTTTTTCCTAGTACAGACTTGGCCAAAGAAACAGTACACATCTCCAACACCCTGAAATTTAAGAATCCTTATATAAAGTACCATTTTTGCCTGATGCCAAGAAGAGGTCTCCCCTCCCTCACAGTATCACATGGAAGAAAGCCCCTCTTGTCTTGGAATTGGTGTGGGGGGGGGCGTAAGGAGCTGCAGGTGCTGCCTGCCTCCTACCTCTCCCCACAACATCACAGTCTCTGCCCCCACCAGCCTCAGGCCCTACCTCTTTCGCTTGTCTCACCTCCTGCAGCCTCTGCCCCACACCTCCAATCATGCCTGCTGTTCTCACTCACACTTGCTCTATCCAGGCTGTAGCACTGGCACTGGCCCTGGGCCCAGCCCAGCAGCAGCAACAGAATAAGATTTCTCAAATAAAACTGTGCCCCAAATGGAAGTCCTTAAAGCCATATTCAAACAAAAACTCACATGGGCTACCAGATTCTGGATAGCATGCAATCTAAATATGGTAGATGAAAGTGGATCAGTGAACAGACCATTACAAGGGTCAAGCCAGAAACGGATCAATGCACATGCTAAAGTTCTGCCTTTTTAAGTAGCCATCATCTGACACCATCCAAAATAAAGAACAGAAAACAGGTCCCACAGGCCTCCTCCACCAAGAAGAATTCCTCCATTGACAGAGAACCCACCAGGGCCAACTTGACTTTTTCCTTTTTAAGGCTGGGGAAGAATGCATGTTGTTGGAGAGGTGGGCTGTCCGAACAGTTGCCACTGCCTAACTCAGGATGCGAAATAGATCTGACACCACAAACAGAAGACTGCAGTACTGAGAGTGTGGACTTGGATTTCGGTTCAGGGACTAGGGGTTGGGTTTGTTTTGCGGGGGGGTTATTTTGGGGGCCTTTTTTATGGAGGGGTATTTAATATAGTTGTTTCCATTATACCTGCTATTGTTGCACATTACTAATCAATATCTGAGGAGTAAAACTGTGTCATTTTCTAAGTGCACTGTCTTTGACAGGATGAAGTCTATAACATAAGTTGTCTCACAGCTGACCTACCAATATTACTGTTGCACAGCATCTTAAATCTGGAGAAATTAGAAAGGAATTATCAAAAATACTGTGTATTTCAACTGATGAAATCTTCATCTGTACAAGAAGAATTATTTTCAAAAAGGAAAAAATTTACTGTTAGCATTTTTAGTAATGTCAAATTTCGGTCCCTTAACAGTAACTTCTTCTACAGTTTTTTTTTCTTCAAAACAGACTCATTAACATTAAGATTCCAAGGCTCAACAAGTAAAAGCATTAAAATAAAGGTTCAAAGGAAGCTGCATTTGGGACAAAAATGATTATTTCTTTACTAAATGAACAGACTAACTTTAAACATGCATCTAGAGCAGTGGTGCTCAACCTTTAGCCCCCATAGCCTAAAGGCAGCTGCAGCCAGATAAGTGGGGTGAGGCTGATTTGTGGGACAGATTGTGCTCAGCAAGCCAGGATCAGGCCCTCAGGCCTGACATTGCCCCCTGCTGCCCTCACACACTGGGATTGGTCCCTGGGAGCCTAGCACCACCCATGCATGCCAGGATTGGGCCCAGGAGCCTAGCAGCACCCCATCCCACCAGGATTGGACCCTGGGGGCCTGACACTGCCCTCTCCCACTCAAGTGTGCCAGAATTGGGTCCCAGGGGCCCAACACCAGCTCCTCCCAGCCCCCCACATTCAAGGATTGGGTCCTGCTGGCACATGATCCAGCACACAGGGCCCTGGAATCTTCATTGGTCCAGAAATTTGGCAGTGGGGGAGTGGTGCCACCACCAAATTTCTTGAGCCCTGGAAAGCCCCATGTACCAGGTTTGGCCCACAGGCTGACAGTTGAACACCTCTGACCTAGAGCACAAGACAAGCAAATGTTGCCATTAAAAGGGCCTATTGCAAGGAAAGCAGACCATTTTAAATCTTGATTATGCTTGCTATTAACTTATATTAACATAGCACTAATATATATTAACATAGCACTTGCTTCCCAAAATACTAAAGCTTATGGCCACACTATTCTTTCAAGAGTGAAAGAAGGTCATTTCTCCTAGCGAACACATATGATGACATCTGCGTAAGCAGTATTAGCAAAAAGCTGGTTCCTCCCTGTCCTCAACTGCACAAGCAACCCCCTGCTAGAAACAACTAGTCAGACTATGTCTATTCCAATGTACTAAATTGAGCTGACCATGCCATTTGACCTCTGAGTCCTTCTCCAGAATGCCCCTCCAGAGTCCTGGATAGGGAAGATCAGCAACAAGGTTTGTGTAGATCTAGAAAGACTTCATAATCGGGACAACAGTTACCCCAATGTTGGACTCTAGACCAGTGCTTGGCCTGACCCAGCTGGGTTCAGAAGCAAATGGACAGTCAGGCGCTAAGACCCAGCCAATGTCACCACCGTTTCTCCCAGAGGCAACACGGGGAAAGCGCCCAACACCCAACCCCCCAACACCCAAGGCTACAAAATAATCAAGTCCGCTGGCCAGATTTGGCTGGCAAGCCCTTGCTCTGAACTACTGCTGTTCATTTACACAGCCTAAACCAGAATTTGGCCTTACATTACAGATGAACAGAAAACAATTTTCCAATCCTGCAAAGCTGTGAAGGATTTCAAAACACTTCCCATTCTGTTCTGAGAGAAAAACTGAGACCTTCTGAGGTTCCTCCATGGACAGAACTCTCTAATCAACTGTATTGAACACTCCTCTCAAAATGGAGTACATGGAAGGTCAGGTCCCTGGTCCTGAATAATCATTTGAACCTGAGTCTCTCACATCCAAGGCAAGTGCCTAATATCTAGGGTACTGGCTATTCTGGATTGGGTCCATTTCATGTTGACCAAAACTTCTATCTAGGACTGAGAAATCCCCTCTCAAAAGAAAGTTTGTTAGCAGTTCCTGAGAAAAGTGGCATTTTTGACATATTACTGCAGTTGAGTGAGAGCAAATTTCACAGGAACATTTCCAGTCAGCTCTACCTTCCCCCAACCCTCCACACATACATATGTATAGACAAGTCAATCAATCACTAACATACAGCCACCTCTGGAGGGAGGTAGCAGCTGTTTAATTCAGAAATCAATTTGGTGCAGAATCTGTTAGCAAAGGAAAGAAAATCACTGAAAACTACCGAAACTGTAATACTGGCCATTACAACAGCGGCTAAAAAAAAAAAAGCCAGCTGTATTTTAAAAAGAAAATTGAGGAAACAAACATACTGTCGTGGTTCTTCCTCTTTTAACCATGCACCACGTTGCTGCAAATCTCTAGATAGAAATGCCCCAGCAGTCAGTCATTTCCTGTCTCCAGCAGCTGTCCAAAGATTGATTGGTCTAAAAATTCTTACTACCAAATGAACATGAACAAGGAGCATGATTACCAACCTTTAATGTACTACGGTTGCCAAGTAAGCAGTCCAGGAGCACAGGCTCATATTTCCTCATCAGAGTGTCCCAGTTGTGATCACTAATAGTAAAGCTACTTTCATAGCCTGAGGTAACAGAAGAACCAGCAGATGCTGCATCTGAAGAATCTGTGGAACATGAAAATGTTGCATCTGTATCTGAAAGAGACACTGTCTCACAATCCTGCAGTTTATCGTTCCAAATGGTCTCTCTTGCATACTTATAATCCTCACTATGCCTACAGAGGCAAGATGAAGCCCCCAGGTCCTTATGAGAACTTCTTCCTCTCTCTCCCAGTTCGCCCAGATTCACTTTTTCTATTTTTCCTGTTACATTTGTTTGTAGAACACATTCAGCTCCCCTGCCATCTGACTGGCTTTCGGTGGTATTTCTTTCATAACTTGAGTTCAGAGAGAGCTGTATGAAGCTAAAACTTGAATTAAAGCTATCTTGAGAAATGGGAGCGTGAGAAGGGACTTCTTTGTTTTCATGTTCACAGTGATTGTTCACTTCCTTCTGTTTGACAGTGGACATTTTTTGCAGGTCCTCTACTCTCCCACTGTGGCTTGTCTGCCATGCAGTTGTTAGTAAGTCAGTGTGCCATGTAGCTGAAGTGTATCCAGGTGAGAAGTCTCCTTTGCATATGGCAGCTCCAGGGCAAACCGGCATAATTACGTTTTCTGAGTGCCGACTCCTGCGATCTGGTAGATTTCTGCCGCTCCCTGGTGTATTTCCAGCAGTGGTTGATGACATTACCACACTGGTGGTAACTATGGTGCTGTTTACAGATGAATTACAATGTGAGAATTCAAAGTCATTTTTGCCTCGTCTGTGCAGAGAGCAATTCTTGAAGTCCTCACAAGGTTTACTGCCATGTTTAAGCCCCTTTGGGTTGAATGGCTGGCAGTCAGCAGGAGGCTGAAGCTCTATCTGTTGCTGAGCTTCTGGTCTCATGTATCCTGGTCTCTTTGCCAGCTTCTTTTTATGAAGAGAGCCTGCAGGCATGAAGTGACCCAGACCATCTAAGAAAATCAAGAAAATGTCATTAAAATGTTTGTATAATTTTTTAGGCTTAAAATACAGCAGCATCTGAAACCAATTACTTCAGAACATGCAGGCAGTACACTGATTTCTTTTTAAGCACAACAAAGAAACTGACAATACTGTAGATTAGATGTGTGATAAAACAGCTGTAACATGGTTCCCCTCCCTTCTGTATATTTTCTCTTTTCCTCATGCCCAGGATGATTTGCAAAACACAGCCATGTTTTAAAGGTACCAACTTTTTTTTAAAGTATGTATACAAGTTAATTCATTTAGTTTTCACAATTATTCTGACTTTTGGCAGGATAAATCGCATCTTTTTTCCAGTTCTTAGGATCCAACCAAGTTATCCTGATCAATGCAATAAAATAAAACAGGCCCCACACATGCTCTTTGATTTTCACACAAGCATGAATGAACAGGCGCCCTCAAAACACTCATTTACACATGTTTGGTGCAGCACTGAACTCACATTTACAAAAACCAGCAAATTATAATATGCAAAATGATTCTGGCATAGCAATTTTGCATAAATCTTTTGCTCTCACTCAGTTTCTCGCATTCACATGCATATTTTACTAACACAGTCTACAGTTCTTTTTTCTTTTAAATAGTGGCCCAAAAAATTCAAACATGTATTATATATACAAAATATGTGTCAATACAATTCTACATAAGAAAAATCCTAAATTCTAATTTTACTTATAGTTAAAAGCATTGTATGCATAAAAATATCAAATCAAGTAAGTCTCATCATAATAATCAAGCAACAAAAGCTAGTTCTGAGGCAGATGGTCCCCTACACAATGTTCAATTGCCATGTTATGTAATTAAGATTATTATTGCAAGGCTATATCACTAAGAAAAGGTCCCTATAATTCAGCAGCATATTGAGCTTTGAGTTTTGAACTGAGCCTTCAGAACAGGGAAAAATTAAAACAATCTGTTTTCATATCAGTAGTTTATGTAAAAAATTGCTTTAGACATACAAAACTGTTCTACTTGTGCTAAAATGAATGAGGTACAGAATCTATTTAATAGTTTCTCTTTCATTTTCCTTGTAACTTTAAAAATCTACAAGGAGATTTTTATTTTAAAAAGAAAAAAAATCAGGTACTTCAAAAATTGCATTTGTGTTTTACTAAAACACTAACATGAAGATATATAAATATGTCAGTAAAAAGTTAAATATGCAAGTGTAACTCCCAAGACTTTCATGTAGACTGTACCAAAAGCTTACCCTTAACTACTCACTTCATTTTTCTTGAAATAACCTTCAACTAAACAGACACTGGAGGGCAGGGCTAGGATCCAGAATTACCTGGATAGACTAGAAAAGTGGTCTGCAATCAATCAGATGAGATCCAAGGCTAGTCTTTTATTTTGGATGCAATGTACCTTATCTTTGGGAAAGTATACTGTCTCCCAAGGCATTTTCATTAAGAAGGTAAGGACATACAGACTATGAGAAAGTACTGTAACGTAGATACCTAACATCATGCTCAACAACTAATTAACAGGGATCCTAGAAATCCATTTGTCATGGAAAAGAGGAGAACATTGTGGAATTTGTGTTTTTACAGAGAATCTTTAGAAATCGCCAGGAAAAAAATCTTACTTACTGAAATAAAATGTTGGCTGCCCAGTAGGAGCCAGTGGTTCTCACAGCCACTGAAGCAGCCTGCCAGGGTAGAGAAGCACACAGGGAAACACCCAAGATGGTGGCTACCCCATCCTCCTTCTACCTCCGATTGGTTAAAAGGGCTGCCCATCATATGGCCCTGCCCCTCTCAGCCAATCAGTGGCAAGGGGTGGAGCCCCTCAACCAATCAGCGTGGAGGGAGGGCTCCCTGCAGAAAAACACACATTTTTAAGGTTTTTTAATCAAAGATTTTTGGGTTTGTAGCCACAGAAAACTAGAATCCCTGGTAATCAACAATGATTTAATGTCTAGTTGGGAAGAGGTATTGAGTAGGGTTACCCAGGGCTCTGTCATGGGTCTGGTATTGTTTAATGTCTTTATTACTGTTTTGGACAATAGGATTGAATGCACACTTAGCAAATATGTGGATAACACCAAGCTGGGTAGAGTTGCAGACACACTGGAGTGCAGGGCTAAGATCCAGAATGACCTGGAGAAATGGTCTGAAAAATCAACCAGATGAAATTCAACAAGGGCAAGTGCAAAGTCCTACACTTGGAATGGAATAACTGTAAGCACAAATACAAAATGGGGAACTATTCACTAGGCTGCAGTACTGCAAAGAAGAACTCAAGGGTTACGGTGGACTGTAAGATGAATACGAGTCAACAGTGTGCCCTTGTTATGAAAAAGAGAAAAAAAACCAACAGAATATTGAGTCGTACTAATGGGAGAGTCGCTTGCAAACCAAGGGAAGTGTGTCTTCCACTGTATTGTGCACTGGTGAGGTCTCACCTGGAATACTGCACACTTCACGAAGGATGTGGACAGATTGGAAGGATTCCAGTGCAGAGCAACAAAAATGATTAGGAGCCTGAGAAGTGTGACTTATGAGGAAAGGCTGAAAGAGCTAGAATTATTTAGTCTGGAGAAGAGAGGCCTGAGGGGAATTTTGATAACAGTCTTCAAATACCTGAAATGTGATTACAGAGAGCATGGAGATGGGCTTTTCCCTCTGCTGAAGGTGACAGAAATGAAAGCAATGGCCTCAAGATGCAGCAGAAAAAATCTGGTTGGAGATCAGGAGGAACTGTCTGACTGCAAGGGTAGTCAAGCATTGGAACAGGCTACCTAGAGAAGCTGTGGAATGTCCATCCCTGGAAGTTTTCAAGACCAAGTTGGACAGACACTTGGCTGGGATGGGCAGGGACAATCCTACCTTGAATAGGGGGCTGGACTGCATGACCTCATGAGGTCCCTTCCAGCCATTGGTGATGTGTAGGAAGTGCATGCACACCACCTGAGATTGGCAGTGCACTTCCTACAAAAAGTGCCACCGACACTGCCGGCGATGCCTGCGGGCAGTCGCTGCTTGCCACCTGCCCCACCTTGCTGCCAACAGCATCTGTGGGCAGTCCCCGATCACTGCTGACCACCACCAATGCTGCTGGCAGCATCTGCGGGTAGTTGTTGACCACCGGTCAGTGGTCACTGCCCCCTGTCCCCCCCCCGACAGCACCACCGCCACCTGCAGGAGCTCACAGTGTCCCCACAGCCTCCTGGGGCACACAGCATTCATGCTTCCAGTTCTACTTTCCTACAATCCTATGATCTGAATTATGACCTACATATTGCAATTTCAATATCTTTTTTATAGTACTGTAGTTCAGCTTCTACGTATTGCTTCAAAAATCTTGTAATTTAGAATCCCTAACTCCAATTTAGTCACTCGTATCTTTTTTACCCAGTAGAAAGAACCACGGTAACGAAAAAGTTCATTCAGTTTATCACCTTACCGATGTAGAAAATAACAAGATTTTCTATTTGTGTTAATCTGGTAAACACACAACCACCAATATAATCTGCTCTGGCTGTAAGAAGGCAAACTGGGACTGGCAAAAACATTCCTTAGAATTTAGGAAAGGTTTTCTACTTTACATCTGACATAGAAATTAATGCACAGTAAAAATATCTGCTTTTATCAAGGTCATCTGCAATCCAGATAGGTCAGTCTTTCTAGACTTAATTATCCCCTAGGTAAAAGAGAGAACCTTGAAAATTTAGTGTTGTATCCAGGCAAACAGTACTGAGAGGCTGGAAGAGATTATTCTTTGTAATAGCCTGTAACATAACTTACTATAAAAAGGTTTGGCACAGGTCTTATCTGTATAAGAATGTGTCACTGGTTTACCTAAAATCAATCTTTAAAAATGAGCTAATTAAATCAGTACAAATCCCCAGTGTCGATATTTAAATCTGTTTAAAATTCTGACCTAAGCTAAATTGATATAAGCAAAGTTTAAACTGATTCAAGCATGTCAACATTAGGGATTTGTGTCATATTTTAAAATTTGGTCTGGTTAAATTATTATAACTAAACAGACACAATGTTCTAATAGAAATATTGCCTTATTTTTAAGATGAAAACCAAGCATAAGTACAGCTCCACAGATAAAACTAACAATGATCACACCTCAAGTCAACCTCACAGGCTACAATATTGTCACTGTGCAAAGCTGATATTAGACTGACTTAGTCCTATAACTTAGATTTTGGCGAAAAAAAAGGTTTAGAGAACTTATAAACAGGTTAAATGTTCTCGTTTTAATTAATCTACTTGTAATTCCAACCAGAAAACAGTTTTAGGACTAGATTTAAACTTTCCCCTATGATTCTTCTAATCCAAAATATTACAGCAGGGGTGGTCAACCAGGAGTACTTCGAAAGGTTGTAGGAGGACGTGCAGGCAGGCAGGGATGGAGTGCGCCCCATGGTGCAGAGGTGGTGGCGTCTCCCCTGGCGCATCCACCTCTTATCTGGGGAGGAGACGCACTGCGGTGCCTCCCCTCCCTCCACCCTAGCCCACTCTCTACACTGGCCACTACCCCCACAGCAGAGCTACGAGGGTCTGAATGGTGTGGGGGAAGGAAAATGTGTTTTGTAACCACCCCCAGTGGCACACGATTAGCCAGGTGCAAGGCCTGTCAGCAGCCCACAAAGCCACAACTGGCCATGGAAAAAAGAGGCACGGTACACAGCCAAGCAGGGTGGTGGCAGTAGCTGTTGTGTGCAAGCCCCCTCCCCGTTTGGTCCCCCTCCTCCCAGCACCACTGCTATGCTCATCCCCAGGTGGCTATGGGGGGGGGCGGTGCCCCTGGATCAGCACATGGGGAAAGGCGGGCTGTGGGCCACTGCAGACTGCAACTGCGGCCAGGGCAGTGCTGAGCTGTTCCCAGCAGGGGTGTTGGGCCGGGCTGCACTGAGATGGGGTTGGTGAGGGCTACAGTGATTTTTTGTGTGGCTGCAGCCCCTCCCATAGCCCCACTCCCAGTGTCA